CTTTCCAGGGACTATGAACAATGTCAAACATCTAACTCATCACTTATCCTTATAGAAGAAAGAGCGAGACTACTTCCCTCTCAAGGGAAAATGGATGTAGGTATGAAATAAAGTACCTCCATCCAGTAGAAAAGAAATTATGCACCCATTAAAATATTTATTAAGGGTATGCAACAAATTTTTATGAATATAACTGTTCACGAATATAAATGAACATGAATATAAATGTTCATGATATAATTTTAAGCATGTTCATAATACATAAGAAAATGTGAAGTGACATTTAAATACTGATTACTTGAATAGATTTTGTAATATATATCAAATAGATTCATTATTTTTTTCCCTTTATTGTGGATACCTAGGAAGTAAATTTTTCCTTGAGAACATACTAAAGGTCATACTGGCCTAGGTGATTTGCACAATCTAATTTAATCTGGAAATAATATATACTTATATATCACTCATCTGCAGACCAGTCTATACATGGTATATGATGTCTAGGTTAATAGTTTACATATAGAACCCCCAAATTTAACTACTTCCCTGATCATGTACTACTTTCAGTATTGTAAACTATGCTGTGGTGAAAAAGCATATTTTTGTGCATTTGTCTCGTTATTTCCTTAAGATAACGTCTAAAAGTTTAATCACTGGCCTTGGATATATATTACTAAACAGCCTTCATGAGTATGACTGTTTTCCACTTCCATGCCTACCCTTGGTGTTCTTCATCTTTTAAAATTGTCTCTGCCTAATTTAAAATAATTCATTTTAACTGATACTTCTTTTAGATATTTCTTTTCACTAACTTGATTAAATTTGTATGGTTATTAGCAATATATTTTTTATTAACTGCTTATTCATATCCTTTTTCCATTGCTATGTACAACTGTTTTTTATTGCTTTCTTTCATTGCATTAAATATGTAACATATGAATACATTGTTGTAAAGATACAAATACATTTGCAATTTCTCAAAGGCTTTGAAGTCACTAAGAGAATGCCTTGGCTTGGCCTGCCAGTCCTAGGAGCACTTCATACTCAAAAGCCCACCTGCTCATGGCAGCAATGATGATGGAGAGTAAGTGTGATATTGTGATTTAGAATAAGAAATATATATTTGGTCTCTCTCCCATTTCTGGCACAGAGCTCCTAAAACCGTTGGAATTTCCTGTGATGAGAGTGATCAAAGTGTCTCTTGATACGTTAATGAGGTGACTTTTGGACCCCTAAGGTTCCCAGTTGCCAGGAAAACCAACAATGTGATTAGAGAGTTGAAACTTTCAGTCCCAGCCCCCTGACCTCCAGGGAGGGAAGAGGGGCACTGGGCTGGAGGTTGGATCAATTGCCAATGGCCAATGATTTAGTCAATCATGCCCATGTAACGAAAACTCCGTAAAAAACCAAAAGGACAGCATTTGGAGAGCTTCTGGGTAGTGAACATGTGGAGATTTGGGGAGACCGTGGAAGCTCCACACCCTTTCCTCATGCCTTGCCCTATGCATCATCTCTTCCATCTGACTGTTCCTGAGTTATATCCTTTTATAAAAAACCAGTAATCCAGTAAGTAAAATGTTCCTGTGAGTTCTGTGAGCTGTTCTTGCAAATTAATCAAACCCAAAGTGGGGGTCATTGGAACCTCCAATCTATAGCCAGTTGGTCAGAAGCACAAGTGATAACCTGGACTTGTGACTGGCGTCTGAAATGGGGCGGGGCGGTCTTGTAGACTGAGTCCTTAACCTGTGGGATCTGATGCCATCTCCAGGTAGATAAGTGTCAGAATTGAGTTGAATAGTAGGACACACAGCTGGTATCTGAGAATTGTTGGGTGGTGTGGGGAAACCCCCTTATACACACACACACACACACACACACACACACACGTTGGAATTGGGTACAGAACTCTTTAGTAAGCAAATATGAGGTTTGGTCCAGGCAATCTACACCTAAGGAGTGACCAGTGCAGCAGTACCCTCCCTCCCTGGACAGGGACCGAGCAACCACATAGGCTTAAGCCAGCACCCTAGCAGTAATGCACTTGAGGATGCACACAAGCTACCAGCACTGCTTCCGTAATTAAAACTCATTCGCCCAGCCATTGCCCAGCTTTGGAAAAGCTATTCCCTGGGCACCTTGTTTCCCCCAATGCGAGTGGCCCTGTGAGTGTCAAGACTCTGTAAAGAAGCAGAAAAGTTGATCGCTAGGAGGCAAGGCAAACATCAAGCACTGAAAGAAATCAGATAGAGACTGACTTCAAGGAAAACTCAGTATTGCCTGATAAATTTTGTTATATTACCCCAATGGCTAGCCTTAATGCCATGAAGATTATCCATTCTAACGATGTCACTGTCTTAGCTAACTGCAGGTGATAGCTGGCATGAGAGGAGACAACAGAAATTAACTTGAACTTCAAGGAAAACTGTACGAAATCCTCATCAAAACCAAATATCATAAATATATTTGAAGCAGAGTTCACAAGCCATGTAAAATCAAACTTATTAGCTGGCATTCTATAAAGAAGAGCTTTCCTTTTTTACTCCCTTTTCTCTTGTTTATGGATTTTTATTTATTTAATGAATTACAATCAATTACAGAAATTATTGATAGCACAAGGAAAAGAATGATTTCAAGTACTTTTTAAAAACTATAACTGTATGATTAAGAGGGATATACTCTAAAACAGGGGCTGACAAACTTTTTCTGTGAAGGGCCAGGTAGGAAATACAGTCGATCCTCATTTTTTGTGGATTCCGTATTTGTGAACTTACCTACTTGCTAAAATATATTTGTAATCCCAAAGCCAATACCCACAGCACTTTCGTGGTCACTCGTGGACACGTGAAGAGCAATGAAAAATAAAGACCAATGGAAAACGAGTCCCCTGACACACATGTTCTCAGCTGAAGTCAAACAGGGTGACCTTCTGCCTTCTTGTTTTAGCTCTTAGACTGCAAAGAAAGTGTCCTTTTCACAGTCTATTTAGTACCACGTTTTTTTCTCATTTTGGTGCTTTTTATTGGTGATTTTGCTGTTTAAAATGGCCCCCAAGCATATGCTGAAGCACTACCCAGTGTTCCTAAGTGCAAGAGGGCTGTGATGTGCCTTACAGAGAAAATTTGTGTTAGATAAGCTTTATTCATAGGCATGAGTTATCATGCTGTTGCCCATGAGTTCAATGTTAATGAATCAACAATATATAAAAAGTGCCTTTAAACAGAAACACATAAAACAAGGTAATGTATTGATTGCTTCACAAAAATGTTGTGACCAGATGCTTGCAGGAAACTAACCCTGTATTTCCCCTACGAGCAACGGTTCCATAATTAGTGTCTGCAACAACTTTATAGAATATAACTACCATGAATGATGAGAATCAACTGTATTTTAGGCTCTGCAGGCCACTCAGTCTGCGTAACTACTCAATTCTGCCCTTGTAGCTCAAACACAGCCAGAGACAATATATAAATGAGCTAGGCTATGTTCCAATAAAACTTTATTTATGGACACTGAAATCTGAAATGCATGATTTTCACACCTCAAAATATTCTTCTTCTTTTGATATTTTTTAACCGTTTAAAAACATAGATACCATTCTTTACCCACTAGCTATACAACAGGTGGCCGGCCAGATTCGGCCTGCAGGCTGTAGTTTGCCAACCCCTGCTTTAGAGGAACTACAATCTAAAATTTTATTTACTAGCTTTATTGTTAGTAATAATATTGGCATTGCAATTTTAAACTATTTTATAGCGATTCTAGGCTAATGCAAATAAATAAATGTTAGTATTATTAAGAATCAGGATTTCTAGAGAAAAGATCGTTAGACAAAAGCAGAAATATAAAATGTAATGTTAAATTTGAAGTAGTAATGGCAGCATGAACTCGTGCTTTGAGTCTTCAACAAGCTTCTTGCCCTCTTTTAACAAAGATAAAACAGTGTGCAATCTAGAACTCAAGATATTTGACTCCCTAATGCTGGGATGTCTGCTCTAACTACACCGCTTCTCTTTTATGTAAAGATGTTTTTTCTTAGTCCAGGGCTTATTAAATCTTCCCAAGAAAATCCCCTTAACACCAAGAAACTGGGAAAGCTCACTCATGGGACTCTGGGGCAGAAGCAAATCAACTACTCCACAAAAGGAATTTGCTTTGAAATCTTATTTTCAAAGTTATGGTTATTTACCTTCTTCTCCATAGTAAACCTCTGATTAAATGTAAAATAAATACATAATTTTCCAGAAAAATCAGTTTTTTCACCAAATCCTTCAATAAAGCTGATGCTCCTTGAAGATGCAACATTCCTTTACCTACTTCAGGGTTGCGGCGAGTGAGGCTCTCGGTCACATCCAATCATCCAGACAGCCGCCACCTCGCCTCAGGCCCGCAGGCACACACGAGAGGCGCACACTCGCCACACAGTCAGGCGCCTGCGTCCTCACACACACAGCGAGTGACTCACGTCCATGTCTGCAGGGAAGGCCCAAGGAAACAAATCTACCAGAACTGCGCCCCATACAATTTCAGTCAGTTACAGACACGCTCACAGAAACACAGTCTCACGCACTCCCAGGCAACCCCATTACCGCAAAGGCCCCCACAGCATTCTCAGTCCTACACAGCCCGACGCACAGTCCCAGTCATAAAATCTCCTTCACAGCCCGCATTCTGGTCCTCGCAGTCCCACGATCTCCAACTCAAACCAGCTCCGCCCAGTGAAACAATCGCAGCGGAACCACTCCACAGACACACACACAGCGCGGTCCGTGGTCACAGGACTCCCCAGACGGCCCCACGGAGAGTCACATTTACGCCCATCCCGCTTTAACGCTCCTGCCGTGACTTTCTGGGGACAAAAGGCCGGGAACCCCGCCCTGACCGGAGCCAGACTGGATCCCCGGCGCCCTCTACTAGCCGGCGGGACTGACGTTCCGCCTCTTGGAGCTGGCCGCGCCTGCGCCCTCGGCGCGTGCAGCCGGAGCTCCCAGTGACCCCCGCGCGCGACCCGTTAGGCCCCGGAGACTGTGGGTTTGACTGGGCCGCGGGGCCCTCGCTTCCGCTGGGCATCACCGCGAGACCGGTTCGGCGCCCAGGTGAGCAGTCCGGGCTCGGAGCGTTGGTTCCGGCCGTCTGTCGGAAAAGCGTTGCGGCCCGGGGATGAGGAGAAGGAAAGGAGGCGCTGCAGCACCGCAGAGCGTCGGGACCCCGCGCCTCAGTCCCGAGAGTGCGCGAGAGCGGCGGTGGGGCGGCCGTGTGCGGCTGTGTGTCTGTGGGCGTGACGGGGCTGGGGCGTGGCATCGGGACTGTGCGGTTGGGAGGCCCGGTTGGGTGATGGCGTTTGTGAGACTCAGGTGGGTGCAGAGCCTCTAGCGTGAGCGCAGGTTGCCGTGGCCGCGAACTGTGTGACTCCGACCCTGGCGTCACAGCTGAGCCCTCTGCCCTCAGCCGCACGGGCCCAGCCGCGGAGAGGGCCCGCAGTCGGACATCCGAGCGCCGGAGTCAAGACCCCCAGCGCCGAGGCTCAGACCCGAGCTCGGGACCGGAGAGTTAGACGTGGACGTGCCCGGGCTGACTCCTGGGAGTCCTCCCAGCGCACGCCGTCCTCGGGCGCGGACACGCGGCCTCGCTCGCACGCTTACGGCGCCGAGGGGTCCCACTGCAGGTTCCAGAACCACCGAGTTCCCGCCGGGACACTGCTGTGAAGTCCGCTTCCCGTCCCGCACCTCCGCGCCCCTGGCCTTTCCCCAGTGCTGGGAGGGGTCAGCAGTACTCTCCCCCTCTTCCAGCGCTCTGGACGTGGTGGGGGGGGCGGGGACAGGTGCGGGGGGTGGGGACAGGTGTGGGCGGGGCGTGCCCTGCTTTAGCCAGGCTGTTGTCCTAAGATCCGCTTCTTCCCCATCTTGTCAAACTGGACGAGAAGGGTCCTGAGGAGGAGGAGGAATGAGTTACTGTTGCCCATCTTGAGGGTCAAGGTCAAGGCGAGTGGGTATTTCCTCTGGTTCTGTGGAATGCGTTTTTATTTTTTAGGACATGGGACCGTTTGCCTCCTCCTCCTTAAATGGCCTGTCCGTTGAATTATTACCTACGCCCTCTCCCTGGTGCCTATGTGCACATGTCCATTTGGCAGACACTTCCCATTCTTCTGTGAGCTTTCTTTTTATAACTATGTGTAAAGCTCTTGGAACAGTGCCTGATACTTCGTAAGTACTTAGTAAACATTAACTATTTGTTGTTATGTGGTGGTTTTCAGAGATTTCCCATCCGCTTCCAATAGAGGAAGAGAAATGAAAATACCATGCTAATTGTGATGGGCACTTTTTTTAAAAAAATGAGAAGCTCAAATGGTCTAGATAAGTTTTTTTTTTTTATTGAGGTAACATTGGTTTATAACATTATATAAATTTCAAGTGTACATCGTTATATTTCGACTTCTGTATAGACTGCATCGTGTTCACCACCAAAAGTCTAGTTGCCATCTGTCACTGTACATATTTGCCCCTTTACCCCTTTTGCCGTCCTCCCAGCCTCCTTCCCCTCTGGTAACCACCAGTCTATTCTCCATATCTGTGTGCTTGTTTCTTGTTGTTTTTATCTTCCACATATGAGTGAAATCATATGACTTATTTCACTTAGCATAATACCCTCAAGGTCCATCCATGTTGTCACAAATGGCAGGATTTCATCTTTTTTATGGCTGAGTAGTATTCCATCATATATATGTATACCACATCTTCTTTATTCATTCATCTGTTGATGGGCACTTAGGTTGTTTCCAAGTCTTGGTTGTTCTGAATAATGCTACAATGAACGTAGGGTTGCATATATCTTTTTAAATTACTGTTTTTGTGTTCTTTGGGTAAATACCCAGAAGTGGAATAGCTGGATCATATGGTAGTTCTATTTTTAATTTTTTGAGGAATCTCCATATTGTTTTCCATAGTGCCTGCACCAGTTTACATTCCCACCAGCAGTATACAAGGGTTCCCTTTTCTCCACATCCTCCCCAACACTTGTTATTTCTTGGCTTTTTAGTAATAGCCATTCTGATGGGCATGAAGTGATATCTCATTGTGGTCTTGATTTATATTTCCCTAATAATTAGTGATGTTGAACATCTTTTCATATGCCTGTTGGCCATCTGTCTATCTTCTTTGAAAAAATGTTGAGATCCTCTGCCCATTTTTTTTTTTTTTTTTGTGAGGAAGATCAGCCCTGAGCTAACATCCATGCCAGTCCTCCTCCTTTTGCTGAAGAGGACTGGACCTGAGCTAGCATCCGAGCTGAGCTTCCTTCACTTTATGTGGCACGCGGCCACAGCATGGCCTGACAAGCGGTGCGTCGTGTGCTCCTGGGATCCAAACCCAGGCCGCCAGCAGCGTAGCACGCGCACTTAACTGCTAAGCCACGGGGCCGGCCCCATCTGCCCATTTTTTAATTGGGTTGTTTGTTTTTCTGTTGTTGGGTTGTATGAGTTCTTTATATATTTTGGATATTAAGGAATTCTTAAACAAAGGTAATTTAAACCCATTTGGGGCTTTCATGGAACCAGAAACCCCTTGAAATTATGAGTAAAATTGTGGTAAATATTTCTTAATATACCATTGTTCTGGGGAGGAAGTCCATAATTTAAGGAGATTATCAAACATGACCCAAAAAGATTCAGATCCACTGGCCTAGAATCAAAGACTGTAATATCTGAGAATGTTCTTTGGGATAACTTATATAAAATTAGTGTCTTACAATGGGAAATTATTAAATAAATCACAATCCATCCATGTGATGCAATTTTATGCCATTGGTATTATGCGAATCATGAGAAGGAAAAAAAGTAGATGATCGATTTTAAGCAAGGTGTTTGTAAGACATTTTGCAAAGATTATATCTAATATGAAATTTTAATTATTCAGTAGAGAAAGGCAGAGATAAAGCATCTATTTGTACCAAATACTGTTCTGTATAGTTTGGAATAATTTGGGAATGCTGCTTACTTTGATTGTGTTCAGGCACAGAAGAAAAATAGTGAAGGAAGCTCGTTGTTTTTGATGAAGAACAGTAAAAGAATTGATGAATGTTATTTATTTCTACCATGCCAGGGTTTTTTTTTGTGGAACCCCCTCATGTTACAGGCCTATAGCCTCACATTTCTGTTAACAACTAGAAGATACTCCCTCTCCCCAACTCTGTTTTTTGTTTTATTTGTATGGAAATAGTTTAATTTTTGTTTTTGATGATAGAATTAATGCAGGTTTATTGTAAAAAGAAAACAAAATACAGAGACCTTATAAGGAACTTATAAAGAAGAAAATTTTAATTGCCCATCGATTGTCCCACCATCGAGAGTTAATGAATATTACTATTTTGATGATTGTTTTTCCAGATATTTTTCTGTGCACTTGTGTACATATGTTTGCTTTGCAAAATAGAATCACAAAAATTGATTATTTAAGGTGATAAAAACTATCCAACACTTTGAAAAAGAAATCCAGTACAGTCATAAGATTTATTATATTGTTATGCCTGTACAGAGTAAAGGGAAGTGCAGTTGTTCCCCTCTAATTTGAAAAACACTTCAAGAATTTACACCTTTTAGGATTATGGAGACATTGATTAAAACAATTACTAGAGCAACAAATTATTAAGATATCCCTTCAGAAATAGAGACTTTCTTTTAGTGGTTTAAGGTTACTCCTAATTACAGATTTATAATAACAGGGGAAAAAAGTGGTAGTAGTGACATATTCAGACATTATACAGAAGAACTTGAAACGTTTGTAATGTGTTCAGTATGACACCTTATCAAATCAAATTTCTTGAGTTTTATGATGCTAAATGGTGTCTCCTTGCAGCTGCTAGGGATGGAGAGCAAGAGAGGCCTTGCTCTACTGCTTACTTCTTGATTTTTGTGAATCTTTTTTTTTTTTAAGATTTTTTATTTATTTATTTTTTCCCCCCAGAGCCCCAGTAGATAGTTGTATGTCATAGCTGCACATCCTACTAGTTGCTGTATGTGGGACGTGACCTCAGCATGGCCAGAGAAGCGGTGCGTCGGTGCGGTGCGTCGGTGCACGCCCGGGATCCGAACCCGGGCCGCCAGCAGCGGAGCGCATGCACTTAACCGCTAAGCCACGGGGCGGCCCTCTTGATTTTTGTGAATCTATTTTACTAACATTATTAAGAAAAATTACATTCTCAAGCCTAGTTCTAAAATGTATTAATATTGTAAGAAAGAGCAGTGCTGAAAATCTCAAGAAATTTACTATAAGGAAAAAAGAGAAAGGGCATCCTCATATTAAAATTATTAAAGAAAATTATTAAAGAAAATTTATCAAAAATTTTTAAATTTTTTAATTAAAAATTATTTAATATTTTATTTAATAAATGGAATAAGGAGCATGTGATTTTTTTTATTTTATTCAGTGCTTATAATAAGCCATTTTAAGTGCTTTATATGTATTATATTATTTAACCTTCATAACAGCCCTATGAGATAGATACTGTTATTATTCTCTAGTTTAATCTATGAGGAAACAGAGGCACTGAAAATTAAGTAACATGTCCAAAGTCTCCTAGTTGATAACTGTCAGAGCTTTGATTCATATCCTGGATCCTGACAACAAAGCCTGTATTCTTCATATATGAACCACTTTCCAAAATTGTGCATATTCTTTTTAGTCTACCTACTTGGTAATTTATCGTGGATATCATGGATACCAGTATCATCATTATTAATAATTACATAATATGCCTTCATATAGTGAAACATAATTTATTTAGCTTGTTGCCCACAGTTAGGTATTCTGACTTTTGGTTATAAGTTATTCTGTGATGAACTTCCTTGCATATATCTCTTTGTGTACTTCTACAAATATTTCAGAAGGATAAATTCCTAGAAATGGAATTTCTAGGTTGAATTATCAGACATTTATAGAGTACTCACAATATGCCAGATCCTGTGCTAGTGCTTGGGGAAAGTACAGTGACTAAAATGACGTCTTGCTATCCTTAAGTTGCTTATTATCTATTGAGGTAGATAAACCTCTGCAGGAATAAGACTAAGACAAGTGTGATAAAGGTCATTGAAACAGTCAGATGGCATGGCTTGGGAGTTCCTGGGAAGGAGACGTCTCTGATTATAGCAAGCACTGTCAGGTTGTGACCAAATAATACCACACCCTTCGGATTTCTGTGGAGGTAAATGGATTTTATGAAATAAGCTTTATGCCTCACAGTTGTTATTCTCATGATGTTGATGCAAAGTGAGACCAACAGGGCAAGAAGCTTCAGTAGCTCTTTGGAGGACATCATGGCTAAAATCACTGGTTCAGAAGCAAGATAAATGCATCAGTCAAGAAGCTATGAGAGGCAGCAGCAGTGAAACAAGGCGTTAGTTGGGGATGTTTAACCATTCTTTTCCTGACAAAACTCCAAGGTACATGAACAACTTACAAATCGTAGAGTTTGTTCAGGTATGGGGAGCTGAAATGAAAAACACGGCAGCTTTTTTCTCCAAGTTCAAGGGATGACTGCTCTAAAAAGTGAGTCTCTTTCACCTATTTGAAGAAAAGCTTCCTGTTTGCAAAATGTAAAAAATATATTTCCAAAGTGTATATCACCATATAAAATTATGAAGTAAATACAAGCAAAAAGAAGAAAATTAAGATCACAATGTTGAAATAAGCAACCTTTGCAGATTTTTTTCTATCTGTTGATGCCTGTTAGTGCCTCTTTATGCTGATATATATGTATACTTTACCAATATAATCATAATGTCCATTTTATTTTATTTTTCTAAAGACTACATATCTTCAATATTTTGTATGTCCTCATATATTTTCTAAACCTTAGCGTTTAGTGATTACTCTGCACATACACAAATATGTATATGCATACAGTTATTTATGCCCTGCCATAACAGGATCACACTACTCACAACCATTATTACCTACATTCTTCACTCAACACGTAGCAAACATATTTCCATCTTTCCGATTAAAGATCTACGTCATCATTTTTAAATGGCAAGTTTTTTCACTCTATGGATGCTTTATAATTTATTTAATCTATTTCCTACCGAAGGACATTGAGGTTCTTTCCAGCTTTTTTCATTATGAGTAATGTCTGTCAGCACAGTCTTACATCTTTGTCTACATAAACAATTATTTTCTTTAATCCCAAAAATAGAATTTCTCAGTCAAAGGGTTTAAGTGCATGGTTTAAATGCTGCTTGTATGTACTTTTAAATTTACAAAGTCTGCAGGTTAGAATATTCATTTCCTCACAAACTGGTTAATATGGGCATCAGTACTCAAAGTGAGATTTAATATCCTTTGGTGATTCGATGTGTTATTTCTATTTGTTAGTGAGTCATGCATGCTCATGTTTCTCTCATTGGAACAAGAGATTCGTGGTTTCAGAGGCAAGAGCTGGAGCTGAATGACAGCTGACTTTGTGGTTAGAAAAATGAGGAGTCCAGATGCAGCTTTGCTATTTACTAACTGAATTTCTGCAAGTGATTTCAGCTCTTTTAGCATGAATTTTCTGATCCAGTGCATAGATAGGGTAATTATTATTCTACATAGCAATCCTGAGGATACAGTTACTGTATATAAAATAGGCATCACATGAAAATTCTTGATATATAGATATGTGTTACCATCTGCCTGTTGAGAGCATGAATCCACACTTCTTTAGACTAGGTTGTAAGAAAGAGAATGGCAAATGAAAGTCATTTTGGAAAGCAATGTGGATGATTCTAATTGAAAATGGTTGAAGAGCCCACAAGATTCTGGAAGTTATTATTATGGCTGCAGGCAGGCAGGGCTGCCAATGCAGCAGTTTTGCAGTGGTAATGGCTGCCAGAGTTGGTCCTTATGAATTTCTCTCTTTGTATCTGATGAATCCAAGCAGGCCTGTGAGAATTTCTTTGAAAGAAATCCTGTTTAGATGATGTGGCCTCTTACTAGCCCTGAAATTTACAAGTAGGGATTAGATTTGTCAAGATTCCCTCAAATCTTCCTCAGTGTGTGTGCGCGCGCATGCGTGTGTGTGTGTGTGTGTTGTGGGGAGGTCAAGGGAGGGGAAAGGACATATTAGCTCGAGTCATTTTGGGAGTTCTGAGGCCTGTCTGATCTCATGGCCTCCTTTTCTGCCCCCTAGCATTGGCCTCTGTGAACTCTGCTTCTCCATGCAAGAAAACCCCAAGGAGGACTGACCAGTTCTTGAATTTCTAAACCATGGCCCATGTAAGTTACTCTGTCTTTCTCCTGGAAATACTGTCATGTTAAGATCCTATGAACATTTCTCTATCCTGAAACTTTCTACCTATCAGAGCCACATCTAATAACCTTCTCCCAGTTCCTCCAAATCCAGTGAGGGATGAGGCTAAATAGAACAATGCCTATCCTATGAGTCCTCTTTTTTCTGGTCTTTGTTCACATATTCATTGAACAAATCATTCAGCATCTTTCATATGTGCTCAGTCTTTTGCTAAGAGATGCAGTGGAACAGAAATGAAATCCCTTGAGAGAGATGTTTGGCCATTTTGTGAGTTGATGAGAGAGGATGGGATCATTTGACTACTCGTGGGAAAACTCTGAACTTTTCTGGACTTGAGTTTTCCAAGTATATAAGGTAAGATTTGCTGTTGGTTGGCCTCAGCCTCAATGTATGGTGAGATCTCATGCTCTGTGAGGCTTTTAGGACTGGGTAGGGATGTGGTTGGGTGTTGCATGCAGAGAGATCAGGGATCTTCTCCTGGAATCCCTAAGAGTTATCCACCAGGAGCAGGGTTCCATTTGTAGGTGAACAGGATGTGCTGGTCTAGAATGACATCTTTGTGATTCTCGATCACCAGTATCCAGAATCTACATCAGTATGCTCCATCTCAGGATCAAGGAATGCATACAGTGAGGGATGGAAAATGATAGCCAGTAAGAAGATCATGCAGATACATAATAGTTATAGACCCTCAGAATTGAGGAGGACCTTAAATATTTTATATAGACCCAAAATATTTAAGTATAGAAGAGTGACTAAGTCTCATATGTCCATTGCATAGACTGTTATACAACCAGTTTTTTTTTGAAGTTCATTAAAGAATCTCATAAATGGGAAAATGCTTGTGATATGATCTGATTCAATGATGAACTTCGAAGAAATTCTTTAATTGTATTCAGATCCTTTTCTAACATAGATGTATTATAGGGAAACTTGTTTTAAAATCTGTTCTATAAGGGGAAAGGGTGGAAGAACTCACACTTCTTGAGAATTTATGAGGGAGGTATGTAGCAGGCAGAAGGTTTATATAAGGTATTTCAGTTAATTGGAAAACTCATTGTTTTTTTCTCTTTCCCACACATCTTTGGATAATTAAGATATGCCAGAGTACACAAGAGGCTATCTCTGTAGCAGCAGGATCCCTCAAGAGAACACATAGGCATGCTGCTTAGGGCACGCTCTTTTCCTAACTCACTACGTTGCAGGCTTCCAGCCCAAGCCTGTTTGCTTGCCATATGGTCTGTTTCCTTAGTATCTCTTCCATCTTTTCTCCTTCCATCTTAAAAACGAATTTTCTTGAATTTTAATTGTATTATACGGTTTGTCATTTCAGGGATCGGTGATGTTCAGTGATGTGTCCATAGTCTTCTCTCAGGAGGAATGGGAATACCTGGACTTGGAACAGAGGGACTTGTACAGAGATGTAATGTTGGAGAACTACAGCAACTTCGTCTCATTGGGTAAAGTGATCTGCCTCTCGTAATTTAGACTCTGTTCTCTGTAGTATCAGCTTTCTTCTCTAGAAATTTCAGGAGTATATTTCAAGAAATTATATGAATTTCTGCTCCCTGTTCTCAAGGGAATGATTTGAGCCTCATTTGTTTGGAAGTGAGCACCTCCATTAAGCGTATTCATCTTCTGTATCCTTAAGTGGCTTTCAGGCCTTCCTTAATGATGAAAGGGCTGGATTAGAAACCTGGGTGATTTACAGCCTTACCAGTGTCAAAGAAATCAGGTTTCATTTTGCGTTTGAACTCAGAATTGCTCTAGGTGTTTTGTTATTTGTTGGTATACCTATAAGGAAAACAGCTACAACCTGTATCTTGGTTTTTCTCTGACTGGTGGTAAGTTGGATCAATGGGATTTATTTACAATTCAAAAGAACTTATTCCTTTTGTTAATAAACAAAGACATTCACTTTTACCTACTTTTATGATTGAATGTTAAAAATCCAAGAACTTTGCATTTAACATTGTATGAATATCCTAAGAAATAACGATAAATGCCTTAGGAAGCTTCTTGTTTTCCTCTCAGCAAAATAACAGTAAAAATAAATAATAGCTAAAAAAAATATGTAGTGCTTAGTATATAATCTAGGCAATGTTGAGATATAGATGTGTATTAATATAACCTTCACAACAATCATGTAAGATATGTATAATTATTATCACTATTTTATAGATGAGGAAAATAAAGCATAGAGGTAACTTGTCCAAGGTCACACAACTGAGTTGTGGCAGAGGCAGGATCTGAACCCAGGCAGTCTGAGCTCTCAACCACTGTTGCCTCTCAAGAAGGAGTACTTGTATGAATATAAATTAAAATAAGACCTTTTCCCTCCCTCTCTAATCTCTGTTTATTATGTAACCTTAATGTGAATGTTTTTTAACCATCTTGCCCTTTTTTGTTCTAAAGGCCTTATCAATTACCATTTGACCAATAGTTTATTAAAACTTTAACCAAGACTGAATCAAAGTTGTTTCAAATTTATTTTTTATTTCTATATCACCTTACATTTCTTTTCTTCTAACCAGGACGCTTCATTTCTAAACCAGATGTAATTTCCTTATTGGAGCAAGGAAAAGAGCCCTGGAAAGTTGTGAGGAAAGGAAGACGACGATATCCAGGTGAGTGAGGGCCAGTCGTGCAGGAGGAGGCCATCATCAGAGGAAACCGCCCAGCTACTTAGGCAAGAGGCACACCCTTCTGATGTTGTTTAGAAAGCCCTCTATAAACGTCCATGGCCTGAGGAGAAAAAGTCTGAGACCTGGGGAGCAAATCCAGATCATAGTTGGGGGTACTAACAGAACTACTTCTTTATCCCATTTACCATTCTTCCTTTTTTTTTTGTTCTCTCCACTTTTCCCTCCCTTTGAAGGGGGCATGGGGTGGAGAAGTGCTCCCTTTGTTGCTGTTGACAGCCATTCTATCTATATTTTGATTCAGTTGCTTTCTTCTTTTGCGTTTATAGATAGACAAATAGTTAGCCCAACCCCTGAGCTGGACATTATGCTAGACACTATTGATACAGTGGTAAATAAAACCAATAGAGTATCTGTCCCCATGGAATTTACCTCATAATAAGAGAAACATAGTAACTGTAAATAAATAGAAAATATAATGTCAGGTAATAAGAGAGAGCTATGAAGAAAAGTGAGCAGAGTAAGGGAATAGAGAATGGGGTGGGATGGGAAGGCTGTTTTAGTTATGGTCAGAGAAGCCTTTTTTTTCTAACTTTCTCATAAATTTTTAAATGGGAAATAGTAGACCACACAGAAAAATATGCTTGACATTGTAATAATATATGTTTTATCAACAATTAAAGTTTCATATGAATTACTCTAGAAGACAGATCCTTGGATTCTTATCTGCCTTTTTCCATGTGTGTATATATGGAAATGTGATAGACTATAGGAAGAAGGATCCCTTGGTGTAGCTTCTACCCCTGTGCTATTTTCATCTCTTTTTGAACCTCTTGTTAAAAAAAGATCCTTAAAATTCTTTATATAGAGATATATGTTATCATTTCGTATTTTGCTCTTTGTATATTCTTAAGTCTGGCTGAGGAGACTCTTTTTAGGCTAAAAGTTCTTATTTTGTAACAATAGGGCCATTTTAATGCCCACGCTATTTATAATCTTATATCTCCTGACTCGTTTTCTACCAAAGGAAAGAAAAACATGCCTTTTTTTCCCAATCCTAACTTATTTTCTTATTTACATTTAGGTAATTAAATGACATTTACAACTATTAGTAGTAAAAAACAAAACGAAATGCAGAGGTTCCAAGTGAATAAGAAAATATCAGTTTAGTCTGTAAACATTTAGCCATAATAACAATTGTTGACTCAAAGTTAGATGTCTTAAATAAGATCATTCATTTTTTTTTCTTTTCTTCCTTTGTTTCTTTCTTCAAGTTTTATTGAAGTATAACATGCATACAGAAGAGTGGGCCAACGAAGGAAAGCTTTTTTGAGGAAGTAATATTTGAGGGGAGACGTGAAGGGCTCAAGCCGTGTGACTTTCTAGGGGAAGAACATTCTGAACAGATAGAAAAGACCTAAAGAGGAAGTTACCTTTGCATGTTTGAGAAATAGCAAGAAGGCCATTATGGCTAGAACAGGGAAGGAGAAGGGAAAGTAACAAGAGATGAGATCAGAGTCCGGCAAAGGCCAGATAATATAATCATTAAGAGAAATTGGAAACTATGGTCTGCTTTATGTTCTAAAATGATCCCTCTGGTTGAGTACAGAAGCAGGAATGACGGGTATGGAGGCAATTTCACCTGTTCAGACTAGAGGTAATGGTGGGTGGATAAGAAAGGCAATGGTAGGAGATAGTAAGAAGCTGATAGACTTGTGATATGTATGAAGGTAGTGCCAAAAAGAACATGCCTATGGGATTATAAGTGGAGTAAGTGGGAAAGAGTAAAATCAGAGGAGGAGCTAAGGGTGTTAGCTTGAACAGCTGGGTGAATGGAAGCACAGTTTACTGAGGTGGGGAAGATAGAGCAGGTTTGAAGGTCAACATTAAGAGTTTCTGTTTTGAATATTTTAAGTTTGAGATGTGTATTATTCTTCCAGTTTGAGATGTTGAGTAGGCAGCTGAATATGTACACCTGGAGTCAGGGAGAGATTATGGCCTGATATACACCTGGGTGTCTTTACTTTATGGTTGAAATTGAAATCCATGGGTCTGAATGTCATCATCTGAAGAAGGCAGGCAGACAGAAGAAAGCCGATAGGCGAACTCCATCAGACAGGCACTCCACCATTTAGACCTTTGAAAGAGGGGGCAGCAAAGGAGATGGAGAAGGAGCAGGCACTGATATAAAATGAAAACAAAAGAAAATGTTTCAGGTGGGAGGGATAGAGAACGAGGACTGAGAATTGACCCCAGGTTCTGGCAAATGGAGAATGCTGGTGACCTTGTCAAGAGTGATTTTAGTAGAGTCAGGGTGAAAACGTGATTGGAATGACTTAATGAGAAAAGAGTAGATGAGGCAGGGATGAGAATGAGTATAAGACAACTCTTTGAAGGAATTATGTATGAAGGGAAGCTGGGAAATAGAGTTCATTGTTACCCTGGGGATATGGGTTATAAGCAGTGTATTTTATGATATGAAATATTAGAACATGTTTGTGTGCTTAGGGGAATGATTCTATAGGTAGGGAAAATTGATGCAATAGAGAGAGAGCATAATTGTGGGAGCAGTGTCTTTGAGGTTGAGTTGGAGGAAGAGGATAGGATCCAGGGAACAAGAGGGAATAAAAGAGAAAACAGGGCCGGCCCCGTGGCTTAGCGGTTAAGTGCGCGCACTCTGATGCTGGCGGTCCGGGTTCAGATCCCGGTCGCGCACCGACGTACCGCTTCTCCGGCCATGCTGAGGCCGCGTCCCACATACAGCAACTAGAAGGATGTGCAGCTATGACATACAACTATCTACTGGGGCTTTGGGGGAAAAAATAAATAAATAAAATTATTAAAAAAGAAAACAATGTAATTATGAACGCAGGTAGGTTGGTCAGTGTGGTGGAGAGGACAGAATATTCTTCTAATGTTGCTATTTTCTCAGTGAAATAAGAAAGATGATGATGAATAGAACATGAAGATTGTTCAAGATTAGCATTCAGTATGGACTTATTCAGGATGTGATTAAAATTGGTTCTCAGAAGTACAGTTCCTTGGATGTCAAGTTTTATTATTTTCAGATCTTTGTACACTGTCCCCAGTGTTGAAATGCAAATAGGACTTCCTTGGAACCAAATCTTCTATATCCCAGACCTTCTTGTATCAACAAAGCAGGGTGGTTAAAAAATAAAATGCCCAGGGGCCTGCCCAGTGGCGTAGTGGTTAAGTACACGTGCTCCACTGCTGGTGGCCCAGGTTCGGATCCCCGGCAGTGCACTGATGCACCGCTTGTCAAGCCATGCTGTGGCGGCATCCCATATAAAGTGGAGGAAGACAGCCCTGGATGTTAGCCCAGGGCCAGTCTTCCTCAGCAAAAAGAGGAGGATTGGCATGGATGTTAGCTCAGGGCTGATATTCCTCACAAAAAACCTCACAAAAAAAAATAATAATAAAATAAAATGCAATGCCCAAACAGACTAAGTAATAAGTCCAGGTGATTTATGTGACATTTTTCATTCAATTAAAGCTGGTTCTCTTTAAAGGGGGAACTGCCTTTATGTTTTTATATTTATGTATTTTTAGCTAATTAAAGAAAAGACATATTTTTCTATATTCTCATCAGCAATCTTTAATAAAATAGAAATCCTTTGATCCAATCCGTTGGTAGTTGGTCTATTAATTCGTAAAAATGTGTTAGATATTTTATGTACATACCATAAAAGTATTAACTCTCAACATTAAAATGTATGCCAATACTTTTGATATGTATCCAAGCCTTCCTTTTTATTGTCTCATATTTAATTTTTCATCTAAACTGCATACATAAAGCATAGTCTATTATTTCTAGTTTTAAATTTTTTTAAGTAGAACAAGAACCAGACTTGCAATATGAGTGCAGAACCCTTCTTGTTATGTTTTCCCCTGTCTTTTACTATTATCCTTCCCACACTAAATGTTTGACCACCGTGATTTTTAACAATGTGTATTTATGACCAGTTTTTCCAGAGTGTTCCATTTCATTTTCATAGAATCAGTCTCTTCTCTTAGTTACTTATGAGTTTACATATTATTTAATTAAATTAGGTACTTTCAGGGAAAAAGTGAAACTGGCTTAAACTTGTTTGGAACAAACACAGTTAACTCTTGTGAGGCAGGAGAGCTTTGTCAACTTGTCCTGTGGATGTAGCTATATCCCCAAGACTTGACTAGCCACTAGCATGTCTCTCATGCCCTAGCCTCCATGTCTATTGCTTACTCTGGTGGCAGACGAATAGTTGCTGCCTGGCCTAAGGGAAATAATTTGCAGGATTCAGTATACCTGGCCACTTTGAACACAGTATTTACTCTGTTGTTAGCTATTGTGTCCGTACCTGCTCAACTTCTCAGCGTGAACACCCCTGGTAGGCCACTCTCGCCTTATGCAGAGTAATCTCCCTTTTGTGATTCAGTATATGATTTCTTTAGAAAATCTAATGCCAAATGCTTCATGAGTGTTTTAGAGTTTTCCTCATAAAGGTTACATATATATTTTAAGTTTGCTTTTTGTTACTGTCTTGACTGGGATCTTTTTTCTCCCTTATATTTTATTGTTAAATATGTATATAAAGGCTATTAGTTTTTGTATTTTGAATTTATGTCCTATTAACTTAATTCTGATACCATTTATATTATTTAAACCTCTTAAGTTTTCCAATTATACAGTCATATGGAAATAGTTTTACCTCCTTTTCAATTCTTCTACCTCTGATTTCTTTCTAATATTTAAGTGTGTTGACTAATAAGCTGCCTTTTTGTGTTAAGATTATATATTTTTTCATTTTAGGGAAAGGATCATTCCTGTTTTATGGAGCTGTTTTTTTAAAATCAGGAATGGTTCGTTTTTCACTTGTCTTTTCAGCATCTTTGGAGTTGATATGTCATTTTTTCCCCCCTCCTCTGCTCTGTTAATATGTTGAGTTATCTTAATAGATTTTCCCATATTGGACCACTTTAACATTCTTTTTTTTTTTTAAAGATTTTATTTATTCATTTTTTTCCCCCCAAAGCCCCAGTAGATAGTTGTATGTCATAGGTTCACATCCTTCTAGTTGCTGTACGTGGGACTCGGCCTCGGGTTGGACGGAGAAGTGGTGCCTTGGGGCGTGCCCGGGATCCGAACCCGGGCCGCCAGCATCAGAGCGCACACACTTAACCGCTAAGCCACAGAGCCGGCCCAGTTTAACATTCTTTGAATAAATAACGCTGGGTCTTTCAGTGTACTGTTTTATTAGATGTTGAGAGTTTTTACATCAGTTTTCAGGAAATTAGTATATAGTTTTCTTTTTATGAACAATCTTTATTTAGCACGATATTACTTCATGAAAATAGTTTGGAAGTCCTCCTTTTTATTAGTTCTCAGTCTAAATAGAATTTGGATGGCCTATTCTTTAAAGCTTTAATAACCTTTTTAAAGCCTTTTTCCTGAGAGAAGGAGATGGTAAGTCTGACCACATTGTCTATTTGCTCTATGGAAATTAGTCTATTATACAGGATATCTCTTCTATGGTCAGTTTTGGTAAATTATATTTACCTAGAAAATTATTCATTTTAGCTATGTTTTAAAATTTATTGGCAAACTAATCTTTTTTCCAACTATCTTCTGTATTCATGATTATTTTCATCTTGCCATTTCTTATTTTTATGTCTTTGCTTTCTTGGCTGTTTTCATTATATTAACTAATGGTTTATCTATTTTGCTGATTTGTTTTTTAAAAGAGTCTGTTTTTACTTTATGTGTTAGTTCTTTTTTTCTGTTTTCTAACTAATATAATTATGCTTTTATATCAGTTAATTTCTTCCTTCTGCTTTGCTTCAGTTTATTCTTTTTCTAATTTGTTTTTTTTTTTTATGAGGAAGATTGGCCCTGAGCTAACATCGGTTACCAATCTTCCTCTTTTTGCGGAGGAAGGTTAGCCCTGAGCTAACATCTGTGCCAGTCTTCCTCTATTTTGTGTATAGGATGCCACCACAGTATGGCTTGATGAGCGGTGCGTAGGTCCACACCCGGGATCCAAACCCACAAACCCTGGGCCACCGAAGGGGAGCACGTGAACTTAATCACTGTGCCACTGGGCCAGCCCCTGATTTTAATTTTTTTATACAGACTATATTATAATTGAAAACATCATCCTTTTTCTCTCTCATACACAACTCATTCAGCACTTAAATTTTCCTCTGGCTATTTCTCCTACTGGCTTACCATCCTCTGGTCTATGTGACCTTTGTTAGCAAGTTCTTCACAATGAACTGCAAGACGCTTTGTCTCTGTTAGTGAATTCTTTACATTTCACATCTTTTTTTTTAACTAAGGATTTCATAAGAACTTCAATAAGGTATAAACTTGTTTCCCTGTCTGAAAATTCACTGGGACACATTTCTAGAAAATATAGGAATGGCCTTGCCCCTGAGGGGAGGGAAGGGAGAAGACCTGAGCAAGAGGATGAAAGAACAGAACCAGCTGAGCATTTGTAAAATGGATCAGTGATAGGATAGGTTGAAAGGGAGATTCAATAAGTAGATCTCCTCAGTACCTTGTTATGATATGGAGACAAAGAAAAAGTAACCCTTAGCTATTTGAAGGAGGGAATGGGCAGTGCAGAGAATACTGCATAGATAAGGTATAAGCAGTGGAAGGATGCATAGTAATAGATAACCACCACTGTCAATTTATATATTTAGCTGGGCTAGCTTGCATGAATAAAGGGAGTATTTAATCATTGTAGTAAGGTCTGAGAGATTAGAGGCAGAGAAATATATTCAGAATAAGTATATAACTGTGGGAATTAAATGAGTGAAACCTGTTATATGCTATGGTTTTATTATTTAATAGAAAGTAAAGTAGAGGGCCGGCCCCGTGGCTTAGC